GTGGCCAATGAGACTCGAGATTGTTTGAGTCCAGTATTTACTTTGTTAATTCGAAACTGTGACAGTTTTGTGGCCGTTGGATGTAGAATGTTAACTCAGACTCACAAACAACCCAGTGAAACCACAGGTAAGTCCAGTGAATTATTCCATTTTGAATCCTCAAGGGCAGAGCTGCCTCATTCATCTTTGTATCCCCCTCCACACTGAGAAGGCTGAATTGTTGAATGAGTGAATAACAAATCCCCTAAAGACCTATATGCCCAGTGATCCCAAGTGCAGGGCCAGGAGCTGCTTGTCTCAACACATCTCCAGGGCTGATTCCTAGGGCCATATGTTATGCAAAACACTGGCCTGCATCTTAATCTAGTTAGGGAGGATTTCAAAGTGGGCTCTGCCTCTGGTAGGGGGAATCCCATCCTGGGAGTGAGATTCCTGCATGAAGAGTCATTTCATTCATGGGTCACTGTCAAGTTAAGGATTGGCATCTTCTGCTCATACCTGCTCTCCTTGCCTGTCTTTAGAATTAATCCTGGTTTTGAATAGATTTGTAGATAAATGCCTAATGTGTAATGACAGGAGGAGTGTCTGTTTCCAGGGAGCATCATGCAACCTACTGGGGACTCCTACTTACAGCCACACGTCCCCAAGCTCTCATGTTCCTATGTATGGGGAAAGCAGGGGGTTTCAGAATATGGGGACATGGATTGTTCTCAGTGTTCCAAGCTGGAATCATGCATGGCAGGTTCTTGTCACTGTAATGTGCCAGAGAAGAAAGGGTATAGGAGAGTGGCCAGGTGCTCGCACTCTGGTGTCAAACAGTCCTGGCTGTGCCTCTTACCAGCTGTGAGAGCTGAGGCAGGTGACTCACCTTCTCTGAGGCTCAGCTTCCTCATCTGTAAAATGAGGAAAGTAATAGTAGTCAAGTGGTTGTGAAGCTTAAAGGACCCAGTCCATGTAAGAAGACGTGCAATATGGGGCCTAATCACAGGCATACCTTGCAGAAATTTCCTTCTCTCTAGTGGAGGGGTGGAGGGTTTCATTGTTGATTGCTGCTGACTGATCAGCGTGGTGGTTGCTGAAAGTTGGGGTGGCGGCTCGGCACCTATAGCTCAACCGGCTAAGGCGCCAGCCACGTACACCTAAGGTGGCGGGTTCGAATCCCCAG